TTATTCTCATCAGTCGTATGAGACAGTTGAGATGAAAATGGTTAAGATGGCCATTGTATGTTGGCGAAGACTCACATGCTTAAAGTAGAGATGAGTTTAATACAGTTTTATGTACTTTGAATGTGGTCTATAAACTTTTCGGTCTAAAAGGTGTTCTCGGAGTATTCTAAAGGTTGGGCTTAATTTAGTAATCGTATTGGCAACTTCTTCGTCGAAGGTGGCTTCTCTTGACATTGTGCTCCCCAAGTAAGTAAACTTGTCTACTGCCTCAAGGAAATGGTCTTTTACAGATATTATTGGACTTGCCTGTTAGTGGTTAGTACAAAACCTCTGTCTTTCTCAAGCTCATGGTTAGGCCATAACGAGAGCACCCTGCAGCAAAGCAATCCATGATCAATTGCATGTCCTTTTGGGAGTTAGTCACTGGGCTACAATTATCAGCAAACAACACTTCACACATCAGTTCTTCAAGGGCTTTACTACTGGTCTGAAGTCGTCTGAGATTGAACAGTTCTCCATCAATTATTAACCTGATCCATACTCCAGCATATAAACATTTAAAGAAATATAAAAGTATAACTGTAAATAGGATACTGAAGAGTGGCGGTGCAAGAACACAGTCCTGCTTTACATCGACTGTCACCGGAAAGGGCTCTGATATTTTCCCATCTTCCAATATTCTGGTCATCATACCAGCTAGGAAATGTTTAATCATAATGATGAATTTGTCTTAAATTCCGACTTTTGCCAATATCTTCCACAGTCTGTTCCTGCTCACCAAATTGAATGCCTTGGCCAGGTCCACAAAGATGTAGTAGAAATCGGTGTTTTGTTTTATGCACTTTTTCTGGATCTGTCTAGTTGCAAAAATAATTTCTGTTGTTCCTATTGCTTTCTTAAAGCCATATTAACTGGTATGATCTTTTCTACTATGGATTGTATGAAATGGTTTGGTAGTCTCTTTCGAGTGATTACCAGAAAATTGATACTCCAATGGTTGTCACAGACGTATAAGTTCCACGTTCTTTTGTACAAATAAACAAATGAGACATCTTTGTATTGCTGGAGGATCTTTTTTATTGGCTCCACTTCTGTTGGAACAACTCCATCATGTGATATACAAGATGTTCTCCACAAGATTTCTATATTTTGGCTGGGATTGCATCAGAACCAGGTGCTTTGTTATTAGACAACATTTCCAAGGCTTTCTTAGTCTAAGTAACAGTGGATTCCCTAGCGAGAGCTTTAATGATGGGATACTGATTGTTGATTCCAGGTTCAGTAGGCTATTAAAGATGCAAGCCAATTTCTCTAGAGTTTTGGTCTTGTCATTTAAGAAGGCTGATCCACCTGAATCTATAACAGAAAATGGCTCTTCATATTGGGGGCATACACTGTCTTCAGTGAGGCATAGAATTGCTTCATGTTTTTGCTGTCAGAGAAGGACTGGATTTCAGTAGTTTTGTCACTCTACCATGGTCACAAATGGTTCTAAGTTTGGATTGGACTGTCTTGCAGACGTTACGATATGTCTGCTCTTCGATGTTTCTCTTGGAGCAAGTCTTCAAGGTCTACATTGTTTTCGTTGAACCAGTCTTGATGTTTACGAGCGTTAGGCCCAAGGTTTCCAAGACTGCAGTATGAATCGCTTCTTTGAAGCCGATCCAGTTGCAATCAGACTCAATATTACCAAAATATGTGTGCATAAAGGTGGGATTCTATAGATTCAGCAAGATTCAGTTTTGTAGCTGAGATTTTAGGTTTACTGACATTCAACCTTCTTGGTGTTTTACTTTTCCGTGAGGTTTTCTAACTAGTTTTATATAGAATTTGAACTTTGAAAGCATGAAACGATGACTTGTCCAACGTTTTTCTCCCCTCATGGCTTTTGTAACTCTAGCATCTTCTTGACAAAGACATCATCTATCAGGTGCCAATGTTTAAAACGAGGATGCATTTACAAAGTCTTGTTTTTATTTGGTATGTAGAACACTGGTGATGATAAGATTATGCTCAGCACAATTCCTCAGTAGGAATAGACCATTGCTGTTGCATTTCCCAATGCCTTGGTGGGCTATAATGCCTGGCCAGGTCTGGTGGTCTGACCCAACATGAACGTTGAAATTACCGAGAAGGACAAGTTAGTCTTTCTTTGGTAACTGAGAGATGATGTAATCTAAGTCCTCGTATATGTTGTCTTTCACTTCATCTGGATTGGTCACAGTTTGAGCATATGCACTGATAATAATTGTATGACACTTACTAGAAAGAAGTAGACTCAAGGCCATGAGGCAGTCATTTACATCTTGAGGTAAACTTTTCACTTCATTGACAATGTTTAGCTTGGTAGCAAATCCGACACCTGACTTTTCACATTATTCAGTACTTCAATCACTCCAGAAAAATGTGTAGCCAGATCAAGATTCTTTCAGTTGACCAACTTCTGCAAGACATGTTCCACTCAGAGCTATCATGGGGATGTTGGAGCATGCGAGCTCTTTGCCAACCAGGACAGTACTCTGTTATGGTCTCATGTTATTATCACTGTACCTTAATGTTCATATGTTTCAGGCTCCAATGTTTATGGGTTTTAAGGTTTTCTTGTTATTTTGATCACAATGTTGGGATCTCCATTAGCAGTGGTCAAGTGACCAGAGTTTAAGTGAAGCAGGCAATTTTTAAGACACCTTTTCCAATATCTTCCTTATGCCATTGAAGTAAGCACTGCAATTTTAAAGAGGGTTGATCAGTCACTCAGGAGGCTGCCAAACGTAACTGCTGCTTCATTTCAGTGGAGAGTGACTACATGTCAGCTTCTAGTATATCTGCCCCTGCTGCCCCACTGCTCGCCTATCGTCACATGGCTTTTAATGGTGGTTACCTAGAATGCAATGACACCTAAATGTAGGTTTGGTTAAAGGGAAGGAAGGTTTGCAAATCCTGCCTCATTCTTTTGCTCTGCTCCATCTTGGTCTAAGTGGTAAGACGAAGTCTAGATTTCTGGAGATTAAGGATAATACAGTGAATGATCTGCAGTACCTAAGTGCACCCACACTGATAGCCTAAGCATTTCACAAGGATTGCTACAGTGCTTTCTTAGTCTGGAGGGTCAGCATATCTGCTTAATCACCTAATTCACTACAGTAGACTTGAATTGAGAGGGATGATGGGTGTATCTCGTATGTGTGCCGTTGCCAAATCACAGACTAATTGTGCTCATCTGCCTTCTAATGGTATTTCCTCTAAAAAGAGTTTCACTACCCTCCTCAAGCACTCATCCACACGAAGCCAAGCCGTTGGCTCTTCTTGAGGTTACCAGGATAGCAAACCACCACCCAATGTTCGACGTTTAACATATACAGGTTTTACTGCTTATAGCAAGTACACGTCTGATCTGACCTAAATAACTGACACAGATAAACCAAAAATGTTTAATACGATTATAATGAAAAAATAATTTAAAAAGAAACAATCTCATATAGAGATATATGAAACTTAATCACGTGACCTCACACTGCTCATCATTTCAAGATTAAATTCTTCAGAGATCCTCCAAATGAGTATCCGTCTTTTCTCATAGGTAATGGATTTTGAATGTTTTTGATAATAGACTCTTGAGGTGTGAATTCAACGTATGGAACTTCATGTCACATGATTGATTGTTTGATGTTTTATGGCGCAAAACACCAGGGCTATCTGCGTCACAGGTCAAAGGAAGATAGGTATTCCTGACCGTATTGAACATTTTTTGCGCATATTCATAAAGTACAGTACCATTCTTAATTCGTTCTCTATGCTTCATCTCTGATTCTCTTTATTTGCCTTTAAGCTTTTATCTGAAAAGTTTCTTATTTGTTTATGCCGTGATTCTTCCTCAATCTAAAAGAAGTAATAAATCGACAGAATAAATATTTGAAGCAATTTGAATCCATTAGAGTATGCCCAACATACAACGCATACCCAAGAAATATGACAAATGTATTAAATTTGACACGTAATATATAGGGGCTTAAATAATAAAACATTCAAGAGGATTAAAATGGACATATTAAAGCAAGACTAATTTTTTTGTCTTTTATTAAGATGTATGCTATAATTCTTAAAAACAGCAATATTGAATCAGAGTTGGTTGCATTTTCCAGTTCTTTCACCGCCACAACATGGAGGTGATAACTTGAAGGTTTATTTCTTGTACTGCCTAACCTAAAATGAATGGAGCACTTGGCTTGGGAAATTAATAACTAAACTCATTTCCCTGTTCCTAACTAATTATACCAATTTTTAAGTTATATTATGTTCAAGTTAAAGAAACCTTGAAGATAATGTAGTATAAAGGCATTCTCCTCTAAACCTAGGTAAACTGGAAAAACTTTACCTGCAATAGTTACAACATAAAAACATCGTTTTTTTCAATTCGATTTAAAAATTACAAGTTTTGCTAGAATACTAAGGATTTTTTTAATTCTGTTTACGTCATTATTAAAAGCAAAACTGTTTCCTTTAATCTTTTTAAACATCAAATTTATTTCAGTTTTCAGATTTGTTACGCTATCTCGCAATAATAGCACATTGCGCTAGATCGTTCTTTTCTTCTGTTATTCCCAAATATTAATTAAAAATTAGATATTCGGCCCGGCATGGCCATGTGGTTAGGGCGCTCGACTCGCAATCTGAGGGTCGCAGGTTCGAATTTCCGTCCTGTCAGCCGTGGGGCGTTATAAAGTGAGAGTCAATCCCATTATTCGTTTGTATAAGAGTAGCCCACGAGTTGGCGGTGAGGGTTGATGACTAGCTGCCTTCCCTCTAGTCTTACACTGCTAAATTAGAAATGGCTAGCACAGATAACCCTCGTGTATCAAAATTCAGAAGAAACCAAACAAACCAATTAGATATTCATCCTCACGTGCTCAATCTACGTAGAATTGACGGCATACGTACTGGGCATGTGCAGAACACTCTGTCGCCAGAGTGACGAGAAGAATCGGGTTTGAAAGCTTCAGAGCAGGCATGAGAAGATTTACAGAAGAACGCCGACGGACTTGACAGGGATCGTTTCTTAACATTACTGTGGTAAGTTAAACTTCAGATATTAAAAAACACAAAAAAACATGTTGTGAGTCAGGAAAGATAGCCAAGTAGTGTTCATCATTGTAGTGTTTATAATTAGAACAAAGAATAAATTAACTTTTATATGTTTCTAGTTTGTTCACCTTTAATATATGTACAATAGAGAACAAAAGCCGTATTTTAAACGAGATTTCCTATTTGTTTCTTGTTAGACGTTTTCAACTATTAATTATACTCCTGTGAAAGCATTTAATTTTAGTAATTTTCAACATTTGCTTTGAAAATATTATGTTCTTTTCGGTCTATATTTCATTTAATTTTATTTATTGTGGTTTGCTTTTGTATCTTTGTTTTTGCTTTGCATTTCATACGAAGAAGACAGGAAGTACACAATTAAACTTATAAGACAAAAACAGTTATTATTAGGAAGCGCCAGATTGATTCTTACAATTGTGTTTACTGTTTGTTTGTTTTTAGTTATGCACAAAGCTACACAAGGGCTATCTGTGCTCTGCCCACCACGGGTATCGAAATCCGGTTTTTAGCGTTGTAAGTCCGCAGACATACCGCTGTGCCACTAGGGGGCTGTGTTTACTGAATAAATTATGTGTGATAGTTAACGTTTACTACGTCTTCGCCTACATTATAGCTTCAGTATATATCTGTGCATTTACAAGGTAAGTTATACTTTACGGAGGAAGCGAAGTTTGAAAGGAGAAAGAGAATAATTAGCTCAGTGAAGAACAGCACATCTTAGCAGTTAGCGCGTCGCGTTGTGATTCTGAGGATCTGTGGTTCGCGTCCCATTATCGCAAAAACAAATTCGCTCCGAACTTTGGGCAGTCAAATTCCACAATTCGGTCTGACAAGAGTAACCTCATAGTTGGCGATAGCTGGTGTTAACCAGCTGCCTTCCCTCTGGTTTATCACTTGAAAATTAGAGGCGGCTAACGCAGAAAACCTTCGTGTAGCTTCGAATGAAATTCAACAAACAAACAAAAACTTAAACAGAATGTAAACATTGCCACATATTATTTGATCAGGTAGATATGTAGGTTTATACCAATTGACGTTCATAGCACGGTTTTATTGTTTACAAACTTCGTTGAATATTTTAACGAACTAATGAAAACAGTGTTATTTGCTACAAATGTAAATGTCACGCAACAATTAACTGGTATATATTACATAAACGTCAATCGAAGGTATAATTATACACTTATTAAAATCATTTCCTTAAATATCAGCACAACAGAAAAGTTTGCTAGTTTTACTAATAAAAAATGCCAAAAAGAATAAATATGCTTTTTTGACTTTTTCACATAAACAAAAACGTTTTTGTATATACAGGTTTCCAGTTTAAATTAAATTTTTCACTTCATTCTTCAGAATCGAAAATCACTCACGACAATAGTTCTAATTTGCAGTGAGTCCTGATAAGTTAAAATAAATAACTTAGCTTCCCACAGAATGCGTTTCTTTTCTTTATTGAAAATAATTGATACATACTTGTCTTACCAAACCTTACAGAGAAAGACCTCAATATGAGAAAAATATATACAAATGTGTCTGATAAAATTCCATTTCAGATTGAAAGCTGTTCACACTAATATTTCCTGATGTGTTCGTTGAACTGAATTTTTTAAGCTTTACAATGTTGAACTCACCAGAGAAGAAGCTTTTAGTGAAAATAATAGACAAGTACATCCCTCGAGTCACTCCATTTCCTTTATCTTCTTGAAATATATATATAATGTTAACTTTAGCGCAAAAAAAGACCCCTTACAAACAGAAGTATAAGACGTTAAAGCACTTGTCACTGATCAACCAGAAAGAAAGTTTGGGCTTATAGTGCTAACTTCTAAAAGCAGGAGCTTTGAGAAAAACCTTATTTAGATGATTGTTGGCCATAAGATATTGTAACAAAACTTAATATTTTGTTTAAATCATTTTCGACAAAATGCAGAAAACCAGTAAACACATGACCAAATTAAGGTGGTGTTTAAATACAATCCATTATTAGCAGAATGTACGTATTAGAGCATTAAAAGTATTGTGATATGTCTTAAGCCTGATTATTGAAACATAGCTAGCATGTGACTAATTACTTAAGAATAATTACAGATTCGAACAATGTGTCAGGTAAATGAATTTAGTCACATAGGTTTCAATTCTTTAATGTATACAGAATATTTTCTCAACATGACTCTCTCACATATAACTCTGAGTAAAATATTATGCCCTATCTACTTTAAGACGTAAAAAACTCAATAATAAGTAATAAACTCAGCGATAAGGAAGAAATATATAAAATAACTGTTGATATGAAGCCAATTTAAAAACCAAAATCAACTTGTGTGAACAAAAAAATATTTATTGTATTTCTTTAGTACTTGAGATAAGTATTATCTTAATGTTGTATTTATTCTTCAGAAATCTTGTCACATACCTCTTGAACAAGTTTTTCCAACTTATTTTACTTTCGAAACACCCAAATAAAATGTCAATACACCATTTCCTTCCCTTTTATCTCATCTTACAAGCTAATCACAGAAGTTACATAATTAGCTAATTCATAGAGGCTGTAGCAAATTTTGCAGCTAAAGATTTTAAATGTTTCTGATTTTTTGAATATATCATAGGCATATAAACTAATTATGCAACTTATAATAGTGCCTACAGAATAAAGTGAATTAACTGAAACGTTTCGACTACCTAAAATCGATGCATTTTAGTTGATTATTTCTATATTAAGTTTATGGTCTAGGATATAATTATGTTTTGAAATTGAATGTAAGGAAATACTATGCCACAAAATCCAATCAAAATCAAATGCTGAACATAATGTTCGATATTTCATCAAAGGCAATTCTTGCTGTACTGTAAGTATGTGAATTGTTTATTTGTATGTAGTTACTTGTTACTTAATAATTCACACTTAGATTTATATATTTAAGGATTTTTCAAAATTCAGTCAGAACTCAAACAATCAAACACATTACACCCAAAAAATGCTATCCGCGTCCAGTTCAAATATTATAAAATACTCTGACAACTAGCTGCCAGATGAATGTTAACTTTTGTCAACTCTGAATAGTCCATACGTAAATATTCCAAAAGGACAATCCCACCATAAGCTAGTGATATGTTAGTTCACACACTTTTATCTTATTTATATTTTATGTATCACAAAGTACATTTATCTATGTTCTTAATTGTAGACCACTTTAGTCTACTTTATTTCATTTGTATTTTTGTATTTTCTGTTTGAGAATAATGACTGAATTTCTCATTTCGGATAAAGCTGATGTCCGTTTGAATCATTCCACCTGTTACTAAATGACTCACTTCACTGAACAAATCCTGTAAATCTTCCGAAAGGCCATTTCATTAGTTGTAAGCGAACCGAAATCCACTAATAATGCAATAAAAATAGATTTTATAAATATGAGAATTAATTTATCTGACAGGGTCAATAAGTTTTGTACAAAGTTGTACTAAAGAACCTGCAAAAAAGTAAACCGACAGCGGGCGGATTGGAACTTTCAACGTACACAACAAAACACGTCATCTTTTACCGCCAGACAACGCTAACGTTCTTAAAAAGAAGGATGGGGATTTTTTTCTATATATATATAAATATATATATGCTTAATAGTGGAAGTTCCTAGGTTTAGAGCCAGATTTCTCCGCGAAGAAAAGAAATACATATGGGGAAAACGGTCTTCGGATTTAGGACATAAAAATGAACCGGGGAAATATTGTTCCAGGCATATTTAAATGGCTTTTCACTTCACTCTATCTCTCTTGGTTTGCGCTCTAAATTACTTTGTTTTATTGGCATTTTAGACAATGTAGACATTATAGAGTTGAAATGTTAAATGAACTGCTCCTATCTTGCTTCTTACGAAACTACAATCCCACAACATTATGTTTCGTCATCTTTTAAATTAGTAGTAAATTACAATAGAAAACCGTTTTTCTGTCTAACGTGGATGTAGTTTGACCCTGAAGATGACATTGAATAAAGTTCTGTATCTTGTGTGAGGCTGTACTCTGAAGTATCAATTTTATAAGATATATTTACTGTTTGCTCCAAAAGTACACACTGAAGCAAAGAAATTCCACTGTCTGAGTCTACCTTTTCTTGTGTACTAAATAATAACAGTGTGTGTGTAATTCATTGATTTTTTGAGCTCGGATTGTACAATGAATAACATCATTGTGCATACTTCCTAGCTTCCATTAAAACAACCTCTTCATTTTATTTTTCCCTGAAATACTCAATAAAGCATTGTATTCATCATGTAAGATTGGATAATGAAGAGTCCAATGAATAGTTTTTTCTTCATTTTGTTGTAAATTTCGTCTTCAAGTAGACAGTAAATAATATAGTCACGTAATGTTGGATCTGACCATTTTCTCTTTGTTATAGCACGTTTGTTCTGGAATACACTTTAAATACCTTCCTGTTAATAACATTAGATTTAATTCAGAATTTTTCATCAATTAATTTTCTATTTCTAGTGTTTGGTTTGGTCTGAGATACCTTTTAAATGCCTTTCTACTTGTAATGTAAACTTCTGATTAGTAGATTTTGTAATCATTTACGTCGAACTTTATTCTAAAATATCAAGTACCTATTGAACAACCTCATGTTTCTTATGTGTGATTTGAATCTGATTATATCTTTATTTTGATCCCATTGGCCAATTTTATATTCCTTATATGATTATTGATCCTAAAATATCGGTTATAACCATCTTTTTCTGATGTGAAGTTTATTTCAGAAGTATTCACTTACTAATGTTCTCTTTATTAAGTGGAACTTTAGCCTGGAACATATTTAAACTGCATCCTGAATTATCCATTAAAAAATATTTTTCTTCTTGTTAGTGGAGTTTGACTCGAAGATATCTTCTTTGTATTAAGTATGGTCTTGAAACATCAACTAAACAATGAGTAGTTACTGTTAAAATTGGCTGTTCATTAAGTGTGGTTTGATATTTACTGAATTCATGACGATTTTGTCAACTGTTTGTAGCTCGACTTTGAATGATGCACTAAAAACATTCTGCCCACTTCAACGATTTGATCTTAAAGTATTCTATAAATAACCTTATTTATGCCTGTTGTGCTATTAAAATTCACAAGAAGATGCTTTTTAATAAAATTCTGCTTTAGATTTGGTCCCCAAGTATCTTTTCTGTAGTATGCCTACGTGTGATGTTTGACACTGGAGTGTTTTAAAATAATTGTTTTTTGTAATTTTAGTTTTGAAATCTAAATGTGTTTTAAATACCATCAGAAAATTTGCACCAATATGCTTATTAAATAACATCCTTTTTTCTCTATGACATTTAGCACCAAAGAGTTATGCTGTTAAATTTGATACATATTTATTTTTGATAGCACTTTGATACTAAAATACTTTTCTAATAACAGTTTGTGCTAGAGCGTGTCCCAATGGTCAGCGTTCTTGACTGTGGATCTAAGGTTCTGTGATTTTCTCCTCGTTACCGCCAAAAACGGTTATAAGAGTGACGGGTAAATCTCATTATTTGATTACAGTAGCCCACGAGTGGTTGTTGGTGATGTTGACTGATTGTCTTTCCTTTAGTCCAGTGCCTCAAAATTACGGAGGACTAACGCAGATAGCCCAGAATAGCTTTCGATGAATTCAATAAACAACATTTTGTCCACTGTGTGAGTTTTAAAAGTGAAGTGTTTTTATGCCTTAAGTGGAGATTCTTTTTGCTCTTTACTTTTTTCGATTTAAATAAAGCAAAAGGAAAATGAAAATGTCATTTATTTATTTTTATCCAACATTATGCAATGTAACCTCCGTATAGCCCGATGAGTATGATAAGTGGAATAAAGCGCCTCTAAAACATTTATTTAAAAACGTTTTTCCTTTGGGCTTATTTTTCAAAGAAAAGCAAAAAATGAACACAACATCCTTCCGTTTACGTTTTGCATTTTTTGTTCAAATGGTACTAACGATATTACTTGTTCAATCACTACTTAAGCACACCAGTTGATATGAACTACCCCATCTTTATCTTGGTTTTGTCCTGAATTACATTAACCAGGGCAAGCTGAGTTGTTGACTGAGCGCTCGTCTCTTGGGTAAAAATAGTATTTATGGTGCGTAAAAGTTCAAACTAACTTGGACTTAAAAATGGTTCTAAATACATTTTCAAGACCATAACTAATAATTTCATCTGAAGAGCTGTTCATTCTTTCTAGTCGAAGATTCAATTTCGTAAAATAAGTAAATGAATCTTCTTCCCCTGTTATCACTAATGTATAAATCCAATACAAACCATACACCTTTGCCTCAGAATTTTTCAAATACACTTTACTATCCATAAATACATGTGTCTTAGCAAGGCCAAGCTGCCCACAGAGATAGCTTCTCCTGGGCAAAAGTGCATCCCCAGTGCCCAATGAGTAAAACTAACATGGATTTTAAAACTGGTTCTATATACATTGTGAGGATCATAGATAATAATTTCGTGAGTAAAACTCCTCATTCGGTAGATCTTTCTCTGGGAAATATTCACATACTTATTTCTAGAGAAATGAACAACAATAAAAAACTTCTAGTAAACTTCTACTTAATTTTTACTCATTTTTGAAACACAGACAAATGGAATTTTTGTCACCTTACGTACCACATATCACTTCTTTATCAATCTTAAATCAGTATGCTCTGTAATTATGGATTCTAAGGCTCTAATTGTATTACTTATATAACTATAATTACATCTGTATTGATTAACAATCTTAGGATTCTGCAATTTATATATATATTATCTTTCACATTAAACAAATATTTAGTTCTTGGCTCTTCTAAGGCATATGTGTGAATGGACAATAAAATGAACTTGAGGGAAATCTGAGAAGAAATAAAGCTGTTTGATGCAGACTATGATGTATTCTTGTGATAGTTTGGTGTAAGCTATGGTGTATTCTTGTGATAGTTTGGTGTAGACTATGGTGTATTCTTGTGATAGTTTGGTGTAGACTATGGTGTATTCTTGTGATAGTTTGGTGTAGACTATGGTGTATTCTTGTGATAGTTTGGTGTAGACTATGGTGTATTCTTGTGATAGTTTGGTGTAGACTATGGTGTATTCTTGTGATAGTTTGATGTAGACTATGGTGTATTCTTGTGATAGTTTGGTGTAGACTATGGTGTATTCTTGTGATAGTTTGGTGTAGACTATGGTGTATTCTTGTGATAGTTTGGTGTAGACTATGGTGTATTCTTGTGATAGTTTGGTGTAGACTATGGTGTATTCTTGTGATAGTTTGGTGTAGACTATGGTGTATTCTTGTGATAGTTTGGTGTAGACTATGGTGTATTCTTGTGATAAAAGATGAAAACTTCATTTAATTATTTCTTGAAAATGAGCAAAAATCAAATGGAGGTTCCATTTTCTTTTTGATATTAAATAAGCAAGTATTTTTTAATAGGAAAAGCTATATCGAATGAAGAGTTTTATCTCTGTAACAATTATATATCATTGTATTAAGATTAATGCCGATTAAAAAGAAAAAATAATATGAGTATTCTGTTTTTTAAGAATAAGCAAAAATTATAAATATTTTTTGCTTATTTTTAAGCAATGCGTTGGAGTCATTTTCTTTAATTATTTTTATATTTATGAGACTTTAGGAAGTTAAAACTGCTTGTTTATTTGTATTTAAGTACAAAGCTACACAATGGGTTATCTGGGCTTACCTACCACGACTATCGAAACCCGGTTTTCAGATTTGTAAGCCTTCAGTCTTATCGTTATGCCACTGGAAGGCCCAAACGTAAAAACAAACCAACTTGTAAATCGTGTTTTTTTCATAACATTTTGTTCGCTGTTTGAGGTTTGATACTGAAGTGTGGTTTATAACATTTTGTTCGCTGTTTGAGGTTTGATACCGAAGTGTGTTTTTATAACATTTTGTTCGCTGTTTGAGGTTTGATACTGAAGTGTGGTTTTATAACATTTTGTTCGCTGTTTGAGGTTTGATACCGAAGTGTGTTTTTATAACATTTTGTTCGCTTTTTGAGGTTTGATACCGATGTGTTTTTATAACATCTTTTCCGCTGTGTGAGGTTTGACACCGATGTGTTTTTATAACATATTTTCCGCTGTGTGAGGTTTGATACTGAAGTGTGGTTTTATAACATCTTTTCCGCTGTGTGAGGTTTGATACCGATGTGTTTTTATAACATCTTTTCCGCTGTTTGAGGTTTGATACTGAAGTGTGGTTTTATAACATTTTGTTCGCTGTTTGAGGTTTGATACCGAAGTGTGTTTTTATAACATCTTGCTCGCTGTTTGAGGTTTGATACCGATATGTTTTTATAACATCTTTTCCGCTGTGTGAGGTTTGACACCGATATGTTTTTATAACATATTTTCCGCTGTTTGAGGTTTGATACTGAAGTGTGGTTTTATAACATCTTTTCCGCTGTTTGAGGTTTGATACCGATATGTTTTTATAACATCTTGCTCGCTGTGTGAGGTTTGACACTGAAGTGTGTTTTTATAACATATTTTCCGCTGTGTGAGGTTTGATACTGAAGTGTGTTTTTATAACATCTTTTCCGCTATATGAGATTAGAGATTAGATAATGATGTATGAGGTTTGTCTCTAGTCTTCTATAACATAACTTTTACTTTGTTTTGGAATTTAGTCTTCATACACTCGTTTTTTAACATAACTTAGAAATCTGAATTTAATAGCCACTGGTTTTAAAACCAGCATTCTTTCAAATTTTTCGGGTTTATAACCAATTACTATTAAAATCAAATACTTGTTTTCATGTATTTGGTTTGACGCTGAATTATTCATTAAGTAATAAGTTGTTTATTGGCTTGGATTGGATGCTGGTTTTGACTGCACTGTAAATCCTACACTGAAATCTATAATTCTATACTGTGTGAAGTAAAACCCTGAAGTGAACATTTCTATGTGAAGTGGAACACTGAAGTGAACATTTCTATGTGAAGTGGAACACTGAAGTGTACAAATCTCTACTGTATGAAGTGGAACACTGAAGTGTACAAATCTCTACTGTATGAAGTGGAACACTGAAGTGAACATTTCTGTGTGATGTAGAACCCTGAAGTGCACATCTCCTTACAGTGTGAGGCGGTACTACAAATCTTTACCAAGTACCTTTTTATTGCGTAGAGTTAAGTATTCATTCAGAAAATTTTTGCATGTTTTATCCATAGAAAATATCCAATTTTTAATAAAGTGTGTGGTTGGTCTGGAATTAAACAAACTTCTTAACTGATTTTAGTCTTTAGGTAGAATTTTGGCCTTGATGACCATAAATAATTTGTTGGAAATGCGTTTTCTGTATTTACTGCATTTACTTTAACCTGTGACGTATGACTATAATCTGTATGTGAACGCTTTGTGATGTGTTTTACAAAATACTCGCTATTCTGATATATCGTTTATTTTTCAGCTTTTGTTTTTACTCTGGATTCATCAGATCAGACATAATGTCTGATGATCTCACAAGCAGCGAGGAATCTGATTATTCTGTTTTCGAAAATAAAAGTGGATTAGCCGAAGACATGAAGTTCCTGGCAAGCATGCCCGAGTTGTGTGACGTCACCTTTCTGGTGGGTGAAACTAGGGAGCCTGTGTGTGCCGTGAAAGCCGTCCTTGCAGCCCGCAGCAAGTATGAGTTTTTTCAATAGCATGTTCATTAGCTTGTACATGGAAAAGTCTCATTAAGCATTTACGTTGTGCACGTTAATAAATGTAAAAGTATCTTATATCATGCTGAAGACTTGATATCTTCTTACAAAATGCAATTCATTTTAACATATTTCATGTTGATAAACCAGTAAGGATACGTTGCAGTTTTCAGTTTACATACCTTGCCTTTGCCCGTTTTATGATATGGTCTATGGCCATTATGCCTTAAATCTTCAATCTTGCCTAGCGCAAGCGAAAATAAACAGTTATCTTATTCAACAGAATTTGCTACTCAGGCTCTTTCCTTCCGTTTCATCAAGTAATTATGAGTCTTATCGGATATGTGTATGTGACGTAGATAATATGATATTCTCGAATAAAGAGTAGAATGAAAATTTGCTAGGAATTCTTAGACAACTAATTATATTTTATGCTCCAGAACTGTGGAAAAGACTCGTTACTAATTCAAATTCCTAAAATACACAAAGAGACTGGATTCGAATTTGTTATCTCATGTAATATAGACTTTAAGTTAGCCATGAAATATATTTTTCATACCTCCAAACTCTGAGATATGGAAAGTAATACAGATTTATAAGTGCTCCCAAACAACATAGTTGGAAAGCACAACGCCTTCGAAGTCAGAGAAAATGTTTACAATTTTGTGTTTCTAAGTATAAAATACAGTATTTGTAAATATAAAACCAACCTCATGTGTGAAAATATACAAACATGCTTGAATCCCAAGTTTGTAACGTTCAACTTTTGTTCACCAAAATGTTAGATGAAGCATAAGAAAAAAAATCGAAACCTAAAATATTGGCACATAAACAATAGATTATCACATATTGTGAAAAATCAGTATTTGGTGAAATTGGTAAGTATTTATCGTGTAAGCTTAATGGAGGTCTTGGTTACAAATTGTTCTGACTTCATGAGTTCGTGCACACGATTAAAGAATGATTAAAAAACAGTCATAGGTATATTGTTGTTTTTGTCATGGTATTAATCTTGTCTGGTTAGATCGAAATAAACCCAGTGTTACTTAAAGCTACAAGAAAAAATAAGTTAAATACTTTAGACAAAGATAATAGTGAAAACGGTAAAGAGTTAGAAATGTAACTTAAGAATATATGTACGTATTTGAAGAATTCATTGAGGAAAACTGAAAAAACAAAGCTTCACGATGCTATAAAGAGACATGACCAAATAGAGGATAACTTAAAGAACAGTAAAAAGAATTAAATTATTTAAAGTATAAACTAAGGAAAGTATTAATAAAACTAAAGGTAGAGTGAACTCGCTGGAAAATCAAAGCGGGCGTTCAAGTTTGTTGTCATATAGTATTACAAGGGTGAGTATTTTATATTAAAACGATTTTGATTATGCAGATCAGAAAGACATGTGACATCTACAGTCAATATAAAGTCGCGGTGAGATGGTATATATATATATATATATTAGAGCTAAACTTAGCGATTGTATGGTGTTGCGTAGGTACTGTGATGCCACCTAAAAACTGATAGCTTCTTAAAAGGATATGTAACAGCCCTTTTCAACGCAAAATAATCTAAGACTCAGGTCATAAAGATATGTTCAAATTGGAGCTTGGAGTTTCCAAGATGAAAATATCCCTTACACTTAATGGAAATGGAAAACAAAGGAATGTGAACCTTCTTGGGGTACCAGGACCATCCAGAAAAAGACCTGCACAAGTCGGAGTAAGAAGTGAAAATCCACGAACATAAAGTTCAGCAACAAAAGTCGTCTACGTGTCCCGGGCAGCAGTACGTAGCAAAATGAATAAAGATCTCCGCCAAGATAAGGCCTCCAATAATACCTCCCATTCAACCGTCGCATGCCTCAAGCAGCTGAAGAATGGGGCATATATATTCGTGCTATTCAATATGAAGACATACCGTTCAAGTCGCTTTTGGATTTCTTGCGACTGGACTATTGAATCTGGCGCTAGGAAACCGTCGTCTTCATATGATAGATAGCTTATAGAAAACATGTTGTTTTGGGGGCATTATAGCCTTACGACAGAGTCTTTTACATTAGTAACTACTCTGCAGGGCACTTGTAAAGGTGCACGGTCGTCAGATGAGTATGATCTGGTGAGGCGACATGGATCGTAATGTCGTGATGAGGCCCCAAAATATCGTTTTAATATAACGTATTTAACCCTCTGTATAGAGAAAATGAAGGAAGAATGAGAATACTGAGGAAAAGCAAATTCATTGTGAAAGAAAAATGGGGGCACTGGACCTATAATGATAAGTAACGTTGACTTGAAAAAATGTGTTATAAAAAGAGATTTTACCCTAAACATACATTTTTTTTGTATTTAAACATAATTTTTCATTTATTGTAGAGAGATCTGATTTGAATTAAAACATTATTTAAAATAGAAAGTAGAAAGAGCACATAAAAATAAAAAAATACATATGTTACAATTAATTAAAAACAGAGGTTTGAATATTTATTTATGAGGAAGAAGGTGTAACCCAGATTCAGAAAGCAACTCTAAAGAAATGGCAGAATGTGTGCTATGTATGTTTTCAGAACACAAGGTTAAGATGACAGTGTCAATGAAGAAGATGAGCAACTGGATAACAACAATGACGAATAGGAATCAACAAAAGTTGCAAGTAGAAACTAAAGAATTAGTAGAAAGGGAAAGACGAATTATCAGATTCCGGATTATCAGTTGGTTTAAAGATAAAATCAAGGATTACGATTTCCAAATGTATATAAAATCACTTAATGTGATGTTTTTTGTATGAAATCATGGAGAAAAATCGTAGTTTGATTTATTTAGTTTCCATGTTCTATATTTTGGTAAACATTATCTCCTATATCACTTATAAAGTTTGTCACTTATTATCCTGTAATGATTTATTTAGTATGTGAGTTGTAGGTGATTTGTTTTAAAATGCTTGTTGTTAAAAAATTATAAATTTATATAAAATAGGAGGTTTATATCAGCTACTGGAAAATAAATTATGGACGAAATAGAAAACGGATAATAGTTCCAGAAGTTTTACAAGAAAATTATATCAAATAAAACATTTGAAAACTGATATTATTTTATAGTTGGATATTTTAACATTGACACTGTTTATCTAAAAGAAATAAAGGAAAATAATTATTTTATCGATTTTTCAATGAATATCAAAAAATGAGATATACATTCTGACAATAAATAAATATGAAGTTATAAATACATATAAGAAATAATAGATCTGTACACAGAAATAGATATAGTCATTCTAAATGATCGAGGAAGTAAAGATACTGAGTTTGATCATTTTCCTTATTATAAGACAATTGAATTAATGTAGTTGCGTATGCTACATGTAATAAAAAGGAGCTTAGGATTTAGTTAAATATTTAAATATTATTTACCTACATAAATCAGACCATTTTCCGACAGAATTTGAATTGAGGATTAAGAGAAAAGGCGAATCTGAGAGAAAACCTGAAAATACCAGTCTGATTATCAAGATTTTAAAGTATTCACAGTGATAATTATATAAGAACATAAAAGGACTTCGTATGTTTAGAAACGTACTAGGAAAATGCCTATTATAAGAATTTATTTACATGAGAAATGGCTAATATTGAATTAGGGAAGTTATAGCAATATATAAACTATAGTGAAGCTCTTTTGAATAATAAATATTTGCAGATAATAAGAGAACCGCCAAAATCAACGAAATGGAAAAATCTGTTAGAACCAAAATCTAACACAATGTAGAGTAAGAACTTTTCGTTAGATAAAGAAAAATGAGAAACTGAGCAAACTGAGTAAGCATTTCGTGGTTTATCTTTCAGGAGGGAGAGACCACTAAAGACACTAGAACTAGAACTGCCATATAGGTCAAGTAAAGAGATTTATGACTGAAACAATATCTTTAAGGGCGTGTTTGTTTCAGCAGGTGCATTATGCTAGTTAAACCTAGATCTAACATGTCATGATGAAGAAATAATAATATCTGCATTAGTGCACTTGCTATCTGGATCAGATTATTCTATATCACTAGCTAGTAATTACCGGCCACTTTTGCTGCTTTCGGTGCAGGGAGTTGGCCAAAATCAGGTTAATACATCATAATTTACTAGAAAATTTAAATAGTTTTCTCATGGGATGGGCGTGGCCACTTACCTGGAAAATACCAATAGAAATACTACATTAGGAGATGCATATAGTATGTGCTAATAAAATTACCAAAACGTGAGGTAGAATCCTTGGTAGACACAAGTGTATTAGTCTCCACAGTGATTCGGAAACTATTGAATAAGCCGTCAATAAGGCAAAAAAAACACAACTTTCATTCTAGCAAATGGGAAAAAGATGGAGTTGTGTGGAGAATCTCGACTTGATTTCTCTATTACTAAAATCTCATGCTGTAGTGGCCCAACTTGGTAGTTTAGAACCTCGTCTAAAATAACTACATCAGCGCCATGGGCAGGGAAAGATAAATGACCCTCATAGTAACCAAACGTTTGAGAATACAGAATAGGAGTATCATAGGCCTGAATGAAACTTCAGAAGACCAGAGATACTTAGACCGTGTCTTCTTCCAGCAAAAAGACAACTGCTCCAATGGAGGTTTTTTATCATCAATCTAATAATCCAATGGTCTGACATGAATACATAATAAGTAACCTGTATCTATCGTTGATGTATATTATATTCTACCTTTAAAAGAACTTAATGTTTATATTTTGAAACGTGTGTCACAAGGGAATATGTAGCATTCAACCTGTCTAACTTTAAGTACATTAGTGACAGATTAGTTGTAATTCGAGTGTTAGCTTAAACTTAAATTGGTTTTAATGTTAATATAGGGAGTACACTGACTAAACGTTATTTAGTAGTTTGTAAAATAATAATGTCATGTGTTATATTGTGAAGGGTTTTTTGTAACTCCATTTCTTTTGGAACTCGGTAGTTAATATTTCAAAGGTGCTTTT